AAAGACAGTGGAGAGAGAGAGAGAGAGAGAGAGATTGTCGATAAAATAAATTGCAAATGAAAAAATGATCTCAAATAATGAGTTTTCCGGTCGTAAATGCATTGCATTTATATTATTATAATCTGTATTTACTGGTAGTAAAAGACAATGTATTTTATACTTTGATATTTACGTTATTTTTAAATTTTAAAAACGAAATATATTAATGAGTTTTATATTTTAATATGGTGGGTTTTTAGATTAATTGTTATCATACGTTTAAATGTAATAATAATTTTGCTAATAATTCAAACTAGAAGTGAAGGGCAATAACTTGCAAATTATTTTTATAATCATTTTACTGCTTTAATATTATAGTTGATAACATTATAAAAATAATTACATAAATGATTATTTAAATAAATTTTATTAATTAATAATTATTTACATGTGTTTATTATAATAATTCATGTTTAAATTATACATCAAGCAAATTATAATAAACATTACACTCATAATATTCAATCAGTTCTTACCATTATTAATTTATTAAATTTAAATATTCATATAAGATATTATTACTTATATTATTATTATGTTTTATGAAAATAAATAATTAATATATACAATAATTAGATGAGATAAATAAATAACATCTACCTTATTAATTAACTATAATATTAACCATTATTTACAATTAAAATATTATTAAATTACATGTTTAAATGAATACACAATTAGTTAATATTTATAAAATATATATTCAATTCTTTCACTTTTGTCTTTAACTTTAAGGCAAAAAATAAATGCCTTTTAATTTATTAACAAATCAATATTTATTCGCTTTTCAAGAATATTCTATAATATTAGTAATTATAGTTATATTGTACTGATAAAAATTTTTGATATGATACCATGATGCGACAAACATGCTAATGTTGACAAATATGTTAATTAAACAAATTAATATAAAAATTGTTTGTGTATTAAAAAATGAAATAATAATTTATTAATTAAAATTAATTGTTTAAAACAATTTTAATGACAAACAATCAGTTGGTATGATATGAATAGGAATCGATGATTTGAAACCTACATGTGATGACAATTTAATATAATTAGTGATTTTGAATGTTTATATAATTACATTTCAAATGTTCAAAAGTAAATTAAAGAAATATAAAAATTTAATAAATAAAATACATGTATACTGTACTTAAGATAGAAATGTATATTATAAAGAATAATGTAATAAATTAATATGAAATAAATACATAAATGCAAAAATAAATATCGTATAAAAACATAAATGAAAATCACAACATTAAACAAAAATTATATATAAATTACAATAATTAAATAAATATCTTGTAAACAATGTATTAATAGCTCTCATATGTAATTAATATGTATTTATAAACTATTATTTTATTATTAATGTAATGGTATAATAATAAGTTATATACAAATGATTATAATAATTATAATGATATAATAGTAAACACGTTGAAACAAAAATCAATACATAAATTACACGTGATCTCTTTAAAAAAAACTAATTAAAATGATATTTAATATAAGTGTTGAGTGAAATGTATTATTTGTATTCACAGGAGACGGTTAACGGTATATCATTAGCACTGGTGGCCACAACCATAGTCTCTCGGGTGAGTCGGTTGGCGTGCAGGTCGTTGTGGTCCATCTCCTCGAGCAGGTGTGTGGGCCCGCAGTATATGTGCGACGGGCGTCGGTTCGCCCCTGACTTCATAATTGTGTTGTTGTTATTTATGTTTGACTTTCCGTTAAAACATTTGATCACAAATGACTGGAAAACGCCGTAAAGCTCTTTGAATTCGTTACGAAAGTTATTATTTAGCCATCCGTACAGAAGTGGGTTTGAACACGCGCTCGACATACCTGTGCCAAATATATATCATGTTTGTTAGTATCAAATTTGTAAACTTGAATATAGTGTTATCAGTTTAGCCGTCCATGGTAAATAGGATTGGTCTAATAGAGTGACCAATTTATGGTAACAATTAAATTAGTTATCTAGCTAAAAATTATTCTAACAAATCTTGTGAAAAAAATCTAAGACTAGCATACAAAAACCCAGTACAAATGTAGATTACAAATACCCAAAATATAAGCATAAGTGAGTGGCCATACCTGCCATGTGACAGATGGCGAACACAATCCGAAACGTTTTGTCCGATTTAAATGGGAAGCAAAAGTCGGCGATAATGTTAATGAGATTGAGGGGTAACCACGAGATACAGAATATGAGTGCAATCGATATGAGTAGAGAATTTGTCTTTCGTGTCCTCTTCTTGAGCCGACTCTTGAGTTTTGGCAATTGTGTGGTCGATGTCCGGCGTATGGCTCGGGTCCGCAATTTCATACACAGCCGCGTATACACTATACTGACAATCAGTATCGGCACAAAGTATTGAAACACCATTGAGAAGACCGAGTAATAGCCCCTCCCGTGCGCTATCGGCCACCGCTCCACACAAAAGTTGATCGATTTAAGCCATGGCATATCTGTATCAGGGTTAAATTGAAATTACTTATAATTATAAGAACTTTTTTAGCTAGTTAAAATTGTGTTAATGTTTTTATTTAATTTATTGCGAAATGTTATTGAAATATAGTTTTATATCTTGCTGGTAAATATTTGACATGTCAGTATTAAATGATGGGTCTTGAAATTGTTTTAAATATTATTTTTAAAATTTCATAATAATTTTAAAACTATTGAATTTAATATTAAAATGGATCATAGGTATTTTATTTTTGTTAATATTTCTTTAGAGTAATATTTTGGTTTTGTTATAATTAAAATTTTCCATTTATTTTAAATAAAACTAAAATAAAGATAATATTTTGCATATTTTTTAATAAGAACTTTCTATATAAAAAATTTAAATAACCAGAATTTTCATTAACTTAGCAATAATATTATGTTATCTCATAGCTGGCGAATGTTGCAATAGTTTAAAATATTGATTAGTATTGAACCAAGTTCCTATTAATAATAGTGAGTTTGATCACCAGGTACAGTGTATGTTATATACTGTTTGTTAAGCTGTATAGTATAATCAAATTTAACTACAATATAATTGTTACGTAAGATTATGATTAATATAATATTTAATTTCAACATTCATAACGTGATACATTACACAATAATTATTTCTATTATTATCACAAACTCATCCATAAATCTAACAGAAAGTCACGAAACAAATATACAGTAATTTCTAACAATTCTTAAGTATTTATTTAATTACTAGTATTGAGAAATGCGATATGCGATACAAGATATTTTTAAAAATAAACTCCTGGTTAATTGGATATAAAAATAAAAATGCATTATCTAATAACTATGTATTAGCCAAATTATTTAAGTTATGAAATATACTGTAATCTAATTCATATAATAACGATGTAAAAATTATTTGTGATATTAATTGTATTATTAAGCACAATGATCGCAACTATATTTAAATAATATGTGATATACTGCATAATTATCTGTATTTTTATAAAGTTATATAAATGTAATGTATGTGTAAATGAATAAAATGATTGATTGAATACCCAATTGATGTGTTTCAACGGTGCGGAAGAGGAAGAGTGGGAGAGCCAAGAGAATAGCGGCCAACCATATGAACGACAGTTTGAATATATTGCCGAGCATTCGGTTTTCGCTCCCGGAATGCAAAATCACTTGATATCTGTCTAAAGCGATGGCTGTTATGCTAATCGTCGACACGAATATCGACGTGGCCTCCAGTGCCACCACCAGTTTGCACATGGTCACTCCTAGTCATTATAGAATTAATTAATATATTGGCATTTAGCATAATAAATTAACATTTGGGATAATAAACACTTGTGTTTAATTCAATTAAAAATATTCCTATGTTTGCGTTAATTGTTAATTCAAAATCTAATGCTAATGAATAAAAATGCATTGGAGGTTATATCAATTACTTGATAATAATAATGCTTGTTGATTCAAAAATTTATTATCTGAAATAAACGAATGAAATAAACAATTGATTCTATAGACAAATAGGAATGCTAATACATTCTGGTACTTGAACAATAACATTTGCTTAATTTATTGTTTACCAACTATTCATAGCATAAATGTTTGATTAGTTCATTAGGCATTTTAATTAAATTTGAGAGTAGAGAGAGAGAG